AAATGTTTCATGTGTACTTGAGAAGAATATGAATTGTGCTACTGTTGGGTGGCATGTTCTATCTATGTCTATTAGGTATAATTGATTTATAGTGTTGTTTAAGTCTATTTCTTTGTTGATCTTCTGTCTAGTTCTATCCATTATTGGAAGTGTGGTATCCACATTTTCAACCTTTAAATTATCTAGTTCTCCTTTCACTTCTGTCAGATTTAGCTTCATGTATTTTGGGCCTCTATTGTTGGCTTCCTGACAGATTGACACTTTATCATTATAAAATGCTCTTATTTGTCTTTAATAAAAATTTTTGTCTTAAAGTCTATTTTGTCTATTATTAGTAGCCACTTCAGCTGCTTTTTGCCAGTGTTCTCATTGCTTTTATGACAAAGTCCATTTTCAGAGGCTTTAGTCAACCATTCTGGAAAGTGGGACCTCTGAACTGCCTCTTAAACACCCCTACAATTTCTGTTTTTAGGCCCGCATTCTCCTTTAATACCAAAGTTGGTGTTTAGAAATGCTATCATATAGGTATCATTAGGTAGTTCTGGTGCTTCAGTTCCTGCCTAGGATTAGTTTGGTTGGGTTTGCCGAGTCATTACCGTGGGTTTTTCTGCTTCCACCTTCCAAAATTTTGTAACTGTTCACTCCTTTTCTATTTTCTTTGTATTTATCACTAAAAAAAAAAAAGTGTCTTTACTCAGTGGTTTTTCCAAAAGAACAGAGCTCAATGAGTAGTTTAAATATTTAATCTCTATTTGAGGGAAACCCTTTAGCTGTTAGCTACTTTATTCTAAGTAACTGAATTTTCTTGTATATTCTCCAGCATTTAAAAAAATAACCAGAGATCTTTTTTATTATCAGGGATCCAGATATTTGGCAATATCCTAAAGTTAATTAAAGATGGTGCTTACATTATCTTTTAAATTTAGACGTGGAATTTGAACATTATGGATTCAAAATAAGAATGATTAGCTATTTCCAAATCTTTTCACTACTTGATTTTTCTTGGGACAGTGATTCCCAAACTTGACTAAGCACCAGAATCACCTGGAGAGTTTGTTAAAACGCAGGTCACCCAGCATCATCCCCAGAGCTTCTGATTTAGAAGTTGGAGGTGAGGCCCAAGAATTTGTATTTTCAACAGGCTTTCAGGTGATGCTGCTGCCTCTGGTCCTGGGCCCACACTGGGGATCACTACCTGAGTGTGTGAAAGTTAAAGGTGCTCCCTTGCGGGTGGGGAGAACATTTAGGAAGCAGATGAGAACAGAGAGGGATAAGAGGGAGATAAACAGGGAGGAAAAGGATGTGCCCACTTGCTCTTTCCCATTGTACCCAGCTTGTGGCCATGCTACTGTTTTATCCATGACAAAACCATGACAAAATAAAACCATGGCAGAATTTGCTTAGAGGTTGAGCATCGACCTATGAATCAGGAGGTCATGATTCCTGGTCAGGGCACATGCCCGGTTGCAGCCTCCATCCCCAGTGTGGGGCGTGCAGGAGGCAGCTGATCAGTGATTCTCTCTCATCTGATCAATGTTTCTATCTCTCTCTATTCCTCTCTGATATCATTTAAAACAAAATGCTTAGAGAAACAGCTCCTGGCATCAGAATTATAACTGTATTCAAAGGAAAAGAGGGAATGAAGTGACACTCCATGAAAAACCTTAAACTGAAACCCTGCAAATGTAGTTTTATGTGAAATGTTAAAGTGGTTGGGGAGTATGTGCAGGGTCTGGAGAAGTCAGTCCTTGTGTAACTTTATGAGACGTACTGGTTGAGTGTTGCTAAGGCAACAGGTTCTGGGCAGTTTCATTCGGGAGGCACTTGTGCACACTTTGTTATTCCTAGGGTCCCCCGTCCCCTTGTTGCAAGTCTGAGAAGGCAGGGGCACTAAGTCACTTAGGCAGAGGGTCGGACTGAGTGTCTCCTTTGGGCCACAGATAGGAGCCCAAACTTAAGGCCATTCCTCTGGGTTATTTTCACGTAGCCATTTGGAGATGCTGCCACAATTATCTCACCTTTAACCATTTTTGTTGCTGTTATTGTTCTCAGAATGTTCTTCTGTGGTATGGTTGTAAATATTGAGAAATAAAATTGGGCTGCAAAGGATAGAGGTTGTTGGGAGGAAGCCAAGAGAGAGGTGAGAACTCAAAACCCTTGCCCCATATGAGGTTGCCTTTCAGACACTTATTACTTAAAATGCAGTCACCTGGATACTTCTGCTGTCACTTCAGAAAGTGAGGAGTGGGAAGAGAAGAAGCATGGTCTGGATATAGATAGCAGACATGAGAAAGCAAGTTGTAGGAGACTAGTTTTACCTCCAACCTGTCACTTCATTTGTTTAGGGCAGGGGTGGGCAACCTTTTTGTGAGTGCGTGCCAAAACCAGCAAAACCTCTGACTCAAAATTCTTCTGCGTGCCAACCCTAATTTTTTGAGAAGATGATATGCCTACTTGATATCTCTTAAGGTGTACGTATGTGAAGAGCCTTGAAGAAATAATAAAATTCATTCGAGCGACAAAAACACAGTATATGATGATGAAAAATACATTTATTTTTTAATGTATACATGTACACTGATAGTCCGACAGAAAACTTTATGACTCCGTTTGATATTATCAGTGGGACTTTTGCTGCTGCATCACTGATGACAGAGATTTTACATCAGGTTTATGTTTCATGACCTTCAGAGATATGCACGGGCTACTACTTTCATCCATCAGGCTACTCCTATTATGAGACTTAACAAAATTCATCACTGAGAACAAAGATTCACAAGCGTATGTGGATGAAACCAAAACACTGGTCGGATCTAGGAAGGCAGGGAGAGTTAAGGCAGAGGCATAGAAATTGCTCTTCCCCTCTCTCGTCAATCCATGTCTATGGTCTTTAAGATAACTTGTTATGTAAAATTATTTATTTATCTAAGATGCACCTACACTGAATTTATCTGAAAAATAAAAAAGTCGATATTAAGAAAAAAGATTGTAAATGGAAGATTATAAGAGAGGGTTTCGCGTGCCAGCAAACGTTACTGGTGTGCCATGTTTGGCACGCATGCCAGGGGTTGCCCACCCCTGGTTTAGGGCTATTGTAGTTTGGTTTTTAATATAAAATTATGTTTTAGTTTTAGATAATTCCCAAAGGTACCTGATTCTGTGATTTTTTTTTTTTTGCAAGGTCACCTCTTATAACTTTTGGACAGCCAGGGTAAGAAACCAGGTCTCTTGACTTCTGAGATAGAGCTTAGGGTATATAGAAGATTCAGTCTTCCCTAACCCCTGTGGACCCGGAGGCTCCATGTTATTTCCTGGTAGCGGTTTAAATGGCTGTGGAGGACAAGGAAGTTCATTGCTATGATAATCAGGCAGACACACTGGGGAAAATATGATGTATCTTCTTGTGTAGGAAAAAGTCAGTATTACCCAATCCAGTAATCAGATTTTCAGACAGAGGCATGGCCCTGGAACATGCTGTCTATGCCTGAGCATAGCATTTTCTTGTCTCCAAAAACAGTTTTTTTAAAAATAATTGTGTACTTGGCTTGTCTGTCTCTTTTAGATATGAATGTATATCTTGCCTGAAATTTTTTCTCAGTCTTATTTTGAAGGCAACTAAATTGCTCTGGAGATATTAGTTGTAGTGGTAATTAATTTAGCCTTTATTGAGCACCTACCTACTGTGTGTCAGGCTTCGTGTGAAGTGATCTCAGAGGTAGGTGAATACAGAGAGAAAGACAAAGGTGGGAAAAGCCAATATTCATTTATCCATCCCTCCTTTTATTCCTCAGAGATTTGTTTGTGTTTTGTTTTTTTTAAATATATTTTTACTGATTTCAGAGAGGAAGGGAGAGGGAGAGATAGAAACATCAATGATGAGAGAGAATCATTGATTGGCTGGGGGATCGAGCCTGCAACCCGGGCATGTGCCCTGACAAGGAATTGAACCGTGACCTCCTGGTTCATAGGTTGACACTCAACCACCGAGCCATGCCGGCCGGGCCCTCGGGGATTTGTTGAGCATTTTCTGTGTGCCCAGGTCTGGACTGAGTGCTGAGGATACAAAAGTGAATAAGACAGACACATCCCTGTTGTCCCTCAAGACCATGCTTCAATCAAGCTTGGTTTACCCTGAAGCAGAAAAGGTCAGAACAGTCTGTGATGGGTGGATGTATAGGTGAGATCAGGGCCCAGGGGCAGCCTCCCGGAGGAGGTGATCTGGGAACTAAAACACAGTAGATGCGGTGCTAACAAGTGAGGCAGCGGCAGAAGGAGCAGTGAAGCAGTGGCTGGACAGAGGACGTGCTTAGTTGTACAGAACATAGATTTAAGGGAGAACAGTTGGAAATAGGACTATTTATATTTGAAAGATGTTTTATTCCTTTCCTAGAAGTTTGGACTTCAACCTAAGGTAATGGGGAAATCACTAAAATATCTCATCATGGAGGAATTATTGTAGGAATCCCCAGCCAAAAGAACATAAATGTGGTATAACTGCATAGAGTTTAAGTTAAAACAATAGCAGAACAATAAAATTGTGTACTCTCTATGATTGTTGATATATAAATTGTAATTATGACTGTAGCAACGAATGGGAAGATGTCAAAAGTAGAATCTACTAGTTGCATGGTGAGATTCTTTAAGAATTCCTTTCTAACACTCACTCAGCATCAAATCTCTATTATATGCCAGGAGATCAGACTGCAATGCCTTTCCTTTGCCATCAAATATGAGAGATCTAATAGTACTCATGCAATTTTAAAGTGTGTGGTTATAAAACATCCAGCATAGACAAATCCATAGAAACAGAAAATAGATTGGTGGGGTGATGGAAATGTTCTGGAATTAGTGGTAATGGTTGAACAATATTGTGAACGTACTAAAAAACGCTGAGTTTTACACTTTGGTTAAAATGGTTAATTTTATGTAATGTGAATTTTATCTCAATAAAAAATACAGGGGAAAAAAAAAGATGCTGCTTGTTGTTTTTTTGTAGTAAAGGGCAATCGGAAGTGTGAGTTGAACTGCCAGGCAATGGGCTATCGCTTCTATGTACGCCAAGCTGAGAAGGTCATTGATGGCACCCCCTGCGACCAGAACGGCTCGGCCATCTGCGTGTCTGGGCAGTGCAAGGTAAGTGCCCCAGGACTGAGGCATCGGGGTGGATGCTTGGGCTCTTTGAGCTCTGACTGCCAGGCTGTGGTCTGCTACCTCCCCCCCAGCCCATGGGCCCCCGAACATAAGCTCTGGGAGAAGTGGGAAGAGATGGGACTGTTTGGTCCGCTCTGTGTTTTTTATCTTTGGGAATCACCATGTCTCACTCTGGTATTTCAATTACTAAGTGATTTATGTTTACACTACTTGCTTCAAAAGGGACACTGATCTGTGCTCATTGCGTCTGGAACCCCTTCCTCCCTCCGGCGTGGAGGTTATGGAACAGCCACTGCTGGGTCGGCCCTGAAGGTGGCATTTTAAGGGCATGGTGTATTGTATCTTGCCTCCCACCAGATGGGGCAGGCTTCCAAATGAAAGTTGTCTCCTGCCCTTTACAACAGAAGTTGTACTTTAAACAGGAAGAGTTTTCAGCCCCTTTGGCCTTCTGAAGTCTGTCCCAGGAACTCCCAGCCGCACATTCTGCAAACCTTCTGGGCCTGAGAGAAGCCCTGTGGGATGCTAACCTTTGGCAGAAAGCATCATTTGGTTAAAAATAGGCATCTTAGATGAGGAGGCACAAGTCCCACAGCCACAATAATGTGGGCCCAGACTGCCACTCTCCTTTCATCTGTAACGTAGAAGGTGGAGCAGAGCAGGTAAATGACTATTTGGAGCCCAGACTGAAACTCTACTTAATTAAAGCTCAAAAGCTGGAGGACTGATTGGCGATCACATCTGAAGGTTCCTGTTCTACCTGGAAGGTAAATTGCTACAGTACTTCGTATTAGAGCTATTCAAGTGTGATTTCTAAGTACCACTTCCCCCTCAGACTTTTTATAGTGAGGAGGTTTCAAATAGGATACAAATAACTTATCTGGATAGTCTCAGATTGTGAATGAAAGTTGAGAAAGGAAAAAGCTGTGTTTGCTATCTAATGTGTGTGAGGTATCTTTGGAAGAGCAAACCCCCCAAAGCATTAGAAATCTGTGTAGGCGAGGAAGGGAGCACGGTGGGAAGTATAGTGGAGTCTGGCCTCCACTTTTCCACTCCTTTGAAAAAACTATTGGGTTTCACACATTCCCTCTGAGCCTCCCCTCCCTCAGATAAGCCCTGAGGGAGTTCCATCAGAGTTTGTGGCGTCCAGCTCAACTGGCCTCTGCTTCTAAGTGTTGCTGAGACTGAAATGGTGGTTCTGAAGCAGCTGGCTCTTTCTTTGAGACCCTGAATGAACTGCTTGGTCTCCTGGTGCAGGTGCACACTGTTGGGAGGGGTACAGTGTAATGGTTAGAAACATGCCCTCTGAAGTCAGACTGCCTGGTTCAAGTCCTGCCTCTTCCACTGGTTTGCTTTGTGGTCTTGCCCAAGTTATGTAAGCTCTCTGGGCCTCTGTACGGTATCTACAAGCTGAGGAGGATGGTACCTACCTCCTGTCTGTGGTGAAGAGTCTGGAGCTACTCTGTGCAAGGCCCTGTAACAGGTCTGCACTGAGTAAGCGTGCTGCTGTGTGTCAGTATTATTGTTTATGCCCACTGATGTCCTGTTGTATTTGAGTTTTAACTGCAAAAGTATTTGCTTTTCTGTAGATTACAGAGTTGTCAGATTCACACCATCATTTTGTTGTTGTTGTTAATCCTCACCCAATGATGTTTTTCCCCCCATTGATTTTTAGAGAGAGTGGAAGAGAGGGAGGGAGAGAAAAAGAGAGAGAAACATTGCTGTGAGAGAGACACATCGATTGGTTGCCTCATGCACGCACCCCGAGTGGGACAGGGGATTGAATCTGCAACCCAGGTGTATGTGCCCTTGCTCGGGAATCCAATCCGAGACCCTTCAGTGTGCGTGGGCTGACACTCTAACCACTGAGAAACACTGGTCAGGGCTCATACCGTCTCTTGAGGCAGGTCTCTCACTGCAGTGTGACTCCTGGGGAGTGCAAGTCCTAGTTGGGTGGGTCTGGGGAGGACTGGAGTATCTGGTTTTCGGACATGCTGCCATGTGATGTGGATGCTGTTGGTTTATGGATTATACTTTGTGTAGCAAAGTTTTAAAGGACAGTGATTAAAACCTACTTAACAAAGAACCAGAAATGTAAATACAGAGTGGTGAAATGATTTGGAAGGAAGAAGAAATGTGATCTCTTTCTACTGGGCAAGCATGTTTTCTTAGTGTTGCATTGAGTGTCTCTGAATTGATGATATGAAAGAAAAACAAACACTTATAAGGACTATAAGGACATGGATATACATTCTTACCAATTGATGAAAACCTTTCATACTGCAGGGCAACACAGTTTGAAGTTGATAATTGCTAAAAGGCTGAGACAGATAGTCTCAGGGTGTGAGTAGATTCATAGGAATTGGATGTTACAAGGACAACTTTGATATTCCATCCTATTTGTTTTCTGTGCTTTTGCCTAAAACTCACTCATTAAAGTTGTTGGAACCACTGACTCTCCCGTCCTCGTGAGAAATTCCGTTTAAATGATCTGAGGTACGTTTGCTTCCCAGGCTGAGATTCTGCTTACTTTGCATCTTTCAAAGGGTACAGAGGCCTTTTCCGAATATTTGATTGGAAGCCCAGAATTCAGATTGATATCTGCTTGGCTGACCCATGGCCGAGAGAGCTGTCACTCACGGTCATGACTGTCTGCCTCTGAAATAACTCCCGAGGCCCCTGCTGCAATAAAACTTAATGAAAGGCAACAAGCATTAAACAGGAAAACGAATGAAACCCACAAAAGAGACACCAAGCGGAAGGCCGAACCGCCCAGGCAGGCAGGAAGGCTCTGCCCAGCGCCTGGTGGGCACCCTGCGTGCTCGCCTTCTTGCTGGGGCTCCTCTGTTTTAGAGCCAGTAGTTGGGAGAGGGGCAGGAAGAATGCAGATGTCCTTGGAATGGAGGCTGGAGGAAGTGGGGGACCCCTCCAGTGCTGGGTGACACTTCTTTTTTGGACAAGGACTGAAGGACCCCACATGTTGGCTTCAGGCTGAGGACTGCATGCAGGTAGGCTCTGAAGGGAAAGACTCTGCCCTGTCGTTTCTCTAAAGCACCCGGAGCTCACAGAGATCCCGCCTTCCTCATCCAGACCCCCTTCCCTCTGGACATCAAAGAGGACCACCTGGCCCGTCTTCAGAGCAGTCTCCGAGACACTTCCAGCCCTGCCCAGTCATTATTACCACTTATGGGAATGAAAGCGTTTATGTCTAATGAACAGAGATCCATCCTTAAGCATCACATTAACTATGCTGTCATGTTTTTTAACATGATCACAGCTTTAAACTCTGCCTGAAATTTTTTGAATTTTTATAGTTAAATGTGTATTTATTATTTTTGCTCATGATTTAATACAAATAAATGAAACTTTGCCTTCAAAGGTTTAGCAGGCATTTGAAAGAACAGGGTCATTTGGGTAATGACTACCAAAAAACCAACCTTCACTCCCTGGAGACTGGCCTTCCAGAAACGTCCGAGTTCCAGAGCTGCATGATACTGAAAGAGTCAGAATCACTCTAAGATCCACCCAAAAACGCTGTTCCTTTGGTGGTAAAGGAGCAGTCCTCTGTATTGCAAAGCTGATGCAAAACCTCAAAGGAAGGAGATGTTGGAGCTGATGCAGGCTAGCAAGGCACTAGAACCTGTCATGTGCCAGACACTGCTCTGTGCCTTACTTCGCAGTTGTTTCATCAGTTCATTTGTCTTCACAATTAGCCAATCAATAGGAATTTTCATCCCTGTTTTACAGAAGACTGTTGAAAAGATGAGATGACTTGGACACGCTAAGTGCTGCTTAGGGGTTGACTATTAATATTGACTTTTAAGCCCTAGTGGGTTTAGCTCAGTGGAAAGAGCGTAGGCCCGGGGACTGAAGGGTCCCGGGTTCGATGCCGGTCAAGGGCATGTACCTAGGTCGCAGGCTTGATCCCCAGCCCTGGTTGGATCCTGTGGGAAGGCAACCAATCGATGTGTCTCTCTCACATCAATGTTTCTCTCTCTGTCTCTCTCTCCCCCTTCCACTCTCTCTAAAATCCAATGGGAAAATATCCTCAGATGAGGATTCAAAAATATTAACTTTTAAAACAGAGTAGTTTGTATGTGATGGGAGAAACCTATGTGCTTCAGGTCTCCCCTATTCTGAGTTTATTTTTCTCCCTGCCTCTTTCCAAAAAGACTGTCTTTCCAAAACACACATCAGGACATGCCTCTTCTTTGCTTAAATTCCATCTCTGGCGCCCCACTGCCTATGGAATAAAGGCCAGGCCCTTCATCATCTGTCTGCTGCCAGGCCTCCCTGGGCCCCCAGGGCTGGCCAGGCTGCGACGTGTTTCTCCGTGACCCAGCAGGCTGCAGGCTGTGCCTCCAAGGGAATGCACACGCTGTTCCATCAGCCTGGAGTGCCATGCTGTGCCCACTCTTGGTCCGCCCCATGCGCTCTGTTCAAAAGCCACTGGCTCAGCCCCTTGTGTACTGTTCTATTCTTCTGTTCCCACTTCTTGTAACTATTTGTTCCCATCGCCCCGCCTGCCACCCAGCCATCCCGGGAGCAATTCCAGGCACTTGGCTTTAGCAAACGCCTACCCTTTGAATAGGTGCTGAAAATAAATGAGTAAGTGAGTCAAGGTACTTGATGACTCAATCTAGTGGATTTCAGCAAATGAAATTAGTCTTGAATGCAGCAGAGTCTTGGTTTGGGCTGGGCTGGGCAGTTCAGTGCAGATAAAACAACGGCATGAAGTCCCCTTGGCCCAATCCCCAGAACCCAAGGCCTTGGAGGTTGGGGAGAGTTTCTTGGCACCCAAACTCCTGTCTCTCTCATCTCATTTTTAATTTTGCTCACTCTGAATTTCCTGAGTCCCTTCAGAGCTATTGACAGGACAAACCTAAGCAAGTGTGAGTGCATGCTCCCATGGCGCCTTCTGTTGAGATGAAAGGGCCCCTTCTCCCCTCCCCTCCCCCCACACTTGCTCCCTCCTTCCTAGTCAG